ATAAATTGCAAGACATTTCCACAGAGCCTCTCGGTCTAGGCTGTCAAAGGCTTTTTTAAAGTCCACAAACTTCAAAATAATTGGGACATTCCATTCTTTGCTTTGTTCTACCATATTTCTCAGAACAAACAGCTGATCTGTACATGATCTCCTCAGTCAAAAACCTGCCTGCTCCTCTCTTCGTCTCTCATCTATTGCTGTTCTGATACGAGATAGATAATAGCGCGAAATAATTTTCCAGTCACTGATAAAAGCGTTATTCCTCTCTAATTTCTACACTCTTTTAAGCCCCCCCCCCCCCCCCCCAAACACACTGTTAGGTAGTTTTATTATATTTCTCTTTCTCCATTCCAAAGGCGTGTTGTTTTTTCAAGAATTTCGTTAAATAGAAAAAGTAATATCTCATAAACTTCTTTTCCAATCGTTTTAAGCATCTCAGCGGAAATTCTGTTTTCTCCTGGACTCAAGACTCTTTAAAGATCATTATGCAAAGATAGATATACAGACAGATAGACAGATAGATAGACAGATAGATAGATAGATAGATAGATAGATAGATAGATAGATAGATAGATAGATAGATAGATAGATAGATAGATAGATAGATAGATAGATAGATAGATAGTTTAAAAAAGGGGTGGGTGTGGAGAGGAGGGTTGCTGTTGCTGCTCGAAGCTGTTTTTAGGGGTTGTTGGGGGGTGGGGGTGGAGACACCTTGTATGATCTTCTAGGAGGACATTTATTGCATAATGGCGACCATGCTAACGTGTTACGTTAGGTTTTTGTTAGTTAGGATTGCAATACAAGTTTCCCTTGGAACGAAGCCAGAATGAATAAAACATCTTGAAGAAGCCAGAAACAAAGTCCAAGAGTCCAAAAATCCCCTGTGGAGGCCTGAATTTTGAATCGGAAAAATCAGTCTAACAGGATACTGAGTTGTTGGTGTACCCAGGACTTGCTATTAGTTCCTTTCACCCTGCATTATTAATTCACACAACAAACTATTGCTGTTCTGATACGAGATAGATAATAGCGCGAAATAATTTTCCAGCCACTGATAAAAGCGTTATTCCTCTCTAATTTCTACACTCTTTTAAGCAAGAAAAAAGGAGAAAATAAAGCATACCCCCCCCCCCCCCCCCACACACACACACTTTGACGTAGTGCGCAACATAATAATATACTGTCATCACTGGGGTCACAGCGGAGTTGTAGCTACGTGTTATACAGTGGTCTGTTACGGTTGCGGTGAGCGACCACATGAGTGGCTATCAGGGTTGGTGATTTTTTTGATTTTTTAAATAAAAATTTTAAAAAATCGATTTTTAAAATTTAAATCAAGATTTTTTAATTTAAATTGGATTTTTTGGATGTTTTGGATTTTTTTAAAAATGTCGACACAGTTTTGGATTTTTGGGTTGGAAAAAAGATATTTCTTTTTTAATGGAAAAAGGATTGTTTCTTTTTTACTATTGAGTTATTTAAGCCACCGCAAAAAAAAAAGCCGCTCTCCTAATATAATATATATATATTTATCAGTGAATTATGGCTACAGACAAGAAATGAGAAAAATGTCAGTCTAAAAGGAAGGGGGGGGGGGGGGGTAATTATGCATAGATAAACTTGCATTTTATTACAGTGTGTGTGTGTGTGTGTGTGTGTGTGTGTGTGTATGTGTGTGTGTGTGTGTGTGTGTGTGTGTGTGTGTGTGTGTGTGTGCGCTTGTGTTTGTCTAAAAAGAAAAAGAAAATGTTAATTTCAATAATGAAAAAAAAAAGTAAATTGAATACTGTATTATTTTACAGTAACAGGGGGGAAAGCAGACTTTTAAGCATGATTAAATTAGTGTACTAAACCTTATATCTGTTTTATAAAACCAAGGAAAGGAATTCTGAATGTTTAAAGATGTAAAAACAGAATACATTTTTTTAAAGTGATTTAAATCACTGAGTTTTATTTTTAAAATCAAGTTGATTTAAATTTTTTCAAATCAACTGATTTAAATCGACCTGATTTAAATCAACCTAACCCTGATTTCAATTATGAAAAAAAGTCAATTGAATACTGTATTATTTTACAGTGACAGGGGGAAAACAGACTTTTAAGCATGATTATATTAGTCTACTAAACCTTATATCTGTTTAATAAAACCATGGAAAGGAATTCTGAATGTTCAAATAAATATAAAAACTGAATACATTTTTAAAAAGTGATTTAAATCACTGATTTTTATTTTAAAAATCAAGTTGATTTAAATAAAAAAAATCAACTGATTTAAATCAACCCAGCTCTGATTTCAATTATGGGAAAAAAGTAAATTGAATACTGTATTATTTTACAGTGAAAGGAAGGAAAGCAGACTTTTAAGCATGATTAATTAGTCTACTTAACCATATATCTGTTTTATGAAAGCAAGGAAAGGAATTCTGAATGTTGAAATATGTAAAAACTGAATAAAAATATTTTTAAAAAAAAGTGATTTAAATCACTGATTTTTATTTAAAAAATCAACTGATTTAAATCACTGATTTTTATTTAAAAAATCAACTGATTTAAATCAACCTGATTTAAACCAACCCAACCCTGGTGGCTATAATTTACTTTTTGCAGAAGGAAAGGATTATAAAATGCCACGATACTGCGGGGAGAAGGGCATGCGGCCCAGATACAAAATGGAAGATAAACGGGAATGTTCTCGAAGTGCAGCGTGAATGGACACCGCTTACCCATAATAGCGTGGTGAAACCTTTTGAAGAAGAACATTACCCGGTCAAAATTCCTCTTTTTCTGTCCATTCTGTGGAAATGTTTTCTTTTTCATAACTTTTGAAGTTCTTCACTTAAACCCAAGGGTGTCAACAAAACACAGATGGGGAGCAGCGGGTTTCAGTGTCAGTACAACAATATAGTAAAATTTCCTTCACATGTGGGCTACTTTGAAAAGGCGGTCAAACACCAGCTTTCTGTACACATCTGAGGTGGTTTTCATTCAGCATTGTCTCTTTGTCTTTTTGTTTGGGAATGCGGCATCAAATTCAAGAATCGTGTTGTATGTCAAACGAATAACATGTTGAATTGTTATTGCAAACTCTTTAAGCCCCCCCCCCCCCCTCAATAGACAATAATTTAGATCACCTGGAGGCCCAACTTGGGTTGCCCAGAGGTACTCGATAAAACAACTTCCCCACTCTAGAATCGAACTTTCGTCTTGTGAATGTGACGGATAGGTGCCTGGCCATTACACCACTGACACCAGTGATGCAGCTATGATTCTCATAATTTTATATAACATTATAATGCATCCTGCTACTGAAAAGTTCATTGTTTATAGTCTTTAAATGTTAGAGGCTCAGATTTTTACTGGCATGCAAAGGGAGGGAAAGTCAAAAGGGTATACTCATTGTTGCAATATTACAGGATTTCCTGATTGTTCCTGAGACATTATTTTTCCTGTGACAGTATATTATAGACAAGGATAACAAAAAAGTCGATTTCACAGATATGCTCTTCATGAAAATGTTAACGACTGACTGATAAGCTTTCTGTGCGAAGTCAAGAAAGAAGCAAAATATTACGATGCTTATTGGGGTTTTTGTAGGTTGTTTTTTTTGGTAAGTCTTTCACGGCGCCGCTCGAAACTGCATAATAAGGTCATTTGAGTTCGGGACACATGTAACTTTTTCAGTTGGTATGACATTTTGAATTTTGCCCGGGTGGCGGCCGAAGCCTACTCTTATCGATTTTAGACCACCAAGGGATCTTTAACGTGCGCAACTTGCACACGGGCCCTGCGACAATTTTCGCCCTTTTCCGAGAAGGCTAGGTATAGATCTTTCCTAACAGAAGATCAGGGGTGTGGCAGAAAGACAGCAGTAAGAAGGAGTCAATGAGTAGCAGTAGAAAGGCTGCAGAAAGACTCAGGAGCTCAGAGAGGGGGCAAAGGAGGTGAGGGGATAGGCGCAGAAAGAGGAGACGAAAGCAGACGACAGAACATTGCTAGAAACCAGGAAAGGAGGTGAAAAGAGACTAATTTTGAGAAGAAAATATTTCAATTGTTACCCGAATTCGAACCCGGGACCTTTGAATGAGAGGCCGACACCTTAACCTCTATGTCACGAGAGCCCCCTATGCTTATGTTTGATCCCTTCCTCTAGTTTATCCTCTCTCCCATTGACATTTAGTCTCTCTCTCCCCTTCCCTTCCTCTCTGTCTGTTTGATTGTCTGTCTGTCTGTCTGTCTGTCTGTCTGTCTGTCTGTCTGTCTGTCTGTCTGT